AAATATTCTCCTTTATCAGATTGTACTTTATTTAATTATTACATTTATTTGCCGATCATTTATTTGCAATGTTTGCAAGGCATACATTTCCACAATTTATCATAATCTTAAATGAGTAAGATTATGTATCATTTGATACATAATTGCAAATTGCAAATATTATGCAAGTTTTAAAGTATAAGGCTGTTTAGACTATGTTGTACTTTCATGGGTCCATAGTGGTTTTTATTTAATTATCAAAACTTAGCTGTGGAGTTCTTATAGCCTTAGATATTCCTAGGTAATTCACTAGTCCCACACATTTAATTAAAAAGTTAAAAGTCTACTAAAATATGCTGCTTAAGCCAGTGGAAAGTGCAGATAATGATGAGCTAGGAAACTGCCCTGCTGTTTTTCCGTTAACTTTATTAACATAGGAATTTGTGGGCAGAAGTAATTTAAAGTAGACAAAATAAAGTAGTGTATCATAATGATTTAGATAACATTTTAAACTGTCCAAATGTTGGGTTATTGAATCTAGCAGTTCTTTTTCACATTTCTCTGTATTTCCTGTATTATATATTTCTTCTTAGGACTGTCTACAGGTAGTCCTCGACTTAGGACCACAATTGAGCCCAAAATTTCTGTTGTTAAATGAATTTTGCCCCATTTTACAACATTTCGTATCTCAGTTGTTAAGTGAATCACTGCAGTTGATAAGTTAATAATCTGGTTAGTAAATAAATCTGGCTTCCCCATTTACTTCAATTTGTCAGAAAGTCGCAAAAGGTGATTGCATGATCTTGGTCCAGTAACGGTTATAAATATGAACCAGTTTTCAAGCATTTGATTTTTGATCATAGGATTGTCGGGATGCTGCAAAAGTTGTAACTGAAAATGGCCCTAAGTCAGTTTTGTCAGTGCCATTGTAACTTTGAATGGTCACTAAATGAACTGTTGTTAAGTTGAGGACTACCTGTATTAATTTTCCATTTTACTTTCTGTACTTCTTTGCAGTAGCCTCAGGCCCAGGAATTCTGGGAGTTGAAGTTGTAAAGGGGTCATAGTTGCCCATCCCTGCCCTACAAGCTACTTTGTCCACAAGCTCTTTCTTGCTTTGTCTTCTCTTTTTAAAAAGTTAGGGTTTGATATTTTCCTGAACAATGACTTTCTTTTTTAAGGGAGAAAATAAACATAATGGGTCTTCTGTGGAACCCGAGAGACTTAACAGAAGTTCAGTATCTCAAGAATCAATCGATAATATTCAGTCATCAATCCTCCTTGCAGCTCCAAAGGTTTTCTATTGATTTAAATTTCTGTTACAATAACATTAGTCTTATGTAAAGGGCTTTTTCAGAATGAAAGTTGAATTGAGATATACTAAATATTTGTTTGAATTAGTTGTGATCTTTCCTAAGATGTGCCACTCTGTAAATCTAGATGGGAAGAATGTTCCTCCAGGTAAACTTCCAGGAGTGGACAAGTTTGTTCATATTGGCAAAAGTTGGCAACTTGAAAGTTCATTAGTAGACTAGTGCCACTATGATTGTATAAGATAATTTCAGTAGGTAGCCTCATTTCTTTAGTGTGAAATTATGTTTATAAATTAATGTTTTTTTAAAAAAAACTAAGAAAATGTTTTGCCTGCCTGCCTGCCTGTCTGCCTGCCTGCCTGCCTACCTACCTATCTACCTACCTACCTACCTTATCTGTCTGTCCATTCATCCATCCATCCATCCTTCTATCTGCTACTAATTGGCTCTGGTTTGATGTTTTGTGTAGGGCTTCAGAAATGAATCTAAAGAAGAACTTGTTGATGAGCCCATCTTGGAAGAGCTTGTTGATGAGCCCATCTTGGAAGAGCTTGTTGATGAGCCAACCTTGGATTTGGGGAGACAGTTTCAACTTATGCAGAGTGAAACAGATGTTGATCAGGAATCCTGGGAAATGCATGAGATTTTGAAGCCCATGGAAGAACAGCTTGGTGAAGAACGAGAGATGTTAGTGGATGAAGTGTATGATATGGATCAAGATGACGAAAGAGGTCTGTCAGTAAACATGAGAGAAATACCCTTATCTCCTGTGGTGGACGCTGAAACTGAAGGACATTGGGTTGAAGAATTAGACTGTACTAAAATGGTAGAACTGAATCCTGCAAACGATCTTAATACTGAAGAGGTATTTACTGATATATATTTATGGAAAGTAAAGAATAAATGAATGGTATTGGAATGTCATATATTCGGTGCAATTATTACTATTCTCTTAATTATAGTGCTTTAAAATCCAGTACCTAAATAGTGCAAAGATTATTAAGGATATTCAGGTGCTTTCTCTAGATACCATTAGCATAATACTTAAATAATTCATAACAGATTTTGGAAAGCAGGGTTTAATTAATGATATGTCAGTTTTTAAAACCAGCTTCTGCTAAACTTATCTTTGTTTCTGATAGCATACAGCTAAGCTAATGACTTTCAATTCTGAATTGCCTTTATTTTTCTACTGAAGAATGAAGAAAAGAGTACTAATAATTCACTATTCCATGGTGTTTCAGTGGAGTACAGCCAAGAGAATCCTATGTTGGATGGTAAGTATTCAGAATAAATAAATATATTTCTGAGCCAAAATTATCTGTGAAACATCAAGAGCGGGAGTTTAGTATTTGAAAAGGGCTAAATGTGGGTTTCAAAAGATACCTAAAACAGGTATCTTAAAAAAGGGTAAATGTGGGTCTCAAAAGATACCTAAAACATTTCAGAATTTGGGTGTAATAGATGTATAAGGATTTGTCATTGTGGAGAAAACCTGGATCTGCATAAGTCCCAACTGACAATCTATTACATGGCCAGAGACAGTTTACCCCCAAATTATAGTTACCTATAAGACAGGGGACGAGGTGGCTCAGTAACTAAGACGCTGAGCTTGTCGATCAGAAAGGTTGGCAGTTTGGCAGTTCAAATACCTAGTTCCTCATAATGGAGCGAGCTCCCATTATTTGTCCCAGCTTCTGCCAACCCAGCAGTTCGAAAGCATGTAAAAATGCAAGTAGAAAAATAGGAACCACTTTGGTGGTGGACCTTCGGCATTTAGTCATGCTGGCCACATGACCACCGAGACGTCTTCGGACAGCACTGGCTCTTCGGCTTTGAAACGGAGATGAACACTGCCCCCTAGAGTCAGGAACCTTTACCTTATAAGACAAATGTGATTGAAGTTGTTCTATGAAGTTTTAAAGGTCTTATATGTCTAATACCAACACCTTCAAACTGTGGAGAGCAGACTATCTTCCAGTGACGTCTGCAATGCTTGTAGCATCTAGAACAGTCCCAAGAATAGATTGACAAGTAGTAAAAAGTATATATTGAGGCTACCAGTGTATGAAAACATAGATATTCACATACATATATGTATATATCCACACTCACATCTATATTAGATAACCTATCTAAGAACAAGTTATGCAGGAAAATAAAAGATTCCCAAATATTCCCAAATATTACAACTGTTCAAGAAGGGCTGTGGGCTGGAAGTACTACCCCATCCAGTTTCCTTCATTTTAGAACGAGAAAATATTCAACCACAATGGTTCTGTTTATTAATATTTAGCTTCCGGTTACCCCATTTAATCCTTTATTTATGATGCCAATTGTTGGCTCAAGTTAGATTGTGTGTGCAGTTCTCATTCTGTACACATCCTCAATTCAATTATTTTAAGAATTCTTGGTATAATGCAATAAGTACTAGAATATGAAGGTTTTCTGCCTGTCTCTTTGTGCTTTCTCTTGGAAAGTCTATAGGGGAGATGAACCTTGAATTTAATTGAAGACAAGTGCTGTTCTTATCACAATGGACGGCCTGATTTTCTATGACTGGAGGATAGAGGAGAGCAGTTCAAGTGAACACTGTTCCCTTTCAAACCACTTCATTGGATGTGCAAAGGCATGCTGTATGTCTAGTCCCACTCTCTTCTCATTTCAATTCCCCTTAAATGCCTGAAAAGAGCTTATTACTGAATAGTCCTTTTAGAAAAGGTTGTCTATGATTAAAAATCTCCTCTTCTAAGGTATTGCAAACCAAGGTGACCCTAAAGAAGATTTATGCAGTGATGTTGATCATGAGAAATATAAAATAAAAAATGAAGATATTGATCCTTCCAGCTCCCAAGATTCTGCCCTATGTAGGGTAGTGCTGTCCAGGTATGAAGTGATGCTTGCCTAAAAATATGTTGGTAACTTTGATTTACTTGGAAAGAAATAAGAGAAAGAACTATTTTCTCTTGTTTATTATGAGAAATCAGCAATGAGTTGACAATAATTAGAGTTTTAATACATTATCTGATTCACTAAGTACCTATTGGAGGCAAAGGTAGGTTATTAATCTATTAGGGTCAAAGGTGTTACAAGATAGAGTTCTTTCAAGTTAAGCCCAAATCCATGTTGCTGTCTTGACCAAAATATGAAGGTGCTTTGCCATTATTTTTACCAGGATATTTTTAAAAAACTTGTAAGTCTAAAGCCTTGGGATGTTCCATTGGTTTCTCACATAAATACCAATAGGTATCACATATAACTTTTTAAACATCATGCAACATGGACTAGATCAGTGTTTCTCTACCTTAGCAATTTTAGGACATGAGGGCTTCAACTCCCAAAATTCCCCAGCCTGCATGAGAAGCCGTCAACTAATTTCTATTTTTCTTCTACTTCTTATAGCTAACGATGGTAGTGATGATCATGATGATAGAATCTTGTCTTGCTACAACACTGAAACATACCAACTGCACTTAATTACCTTCCTTTCTGTAGAAATAGATTGTATACTTAATTAAGAAGACAATTTCAGAGTATTTGTCTTTAATAAAGAGTTGGAAATGGTCCATTTTCATTAACATTTATAGAAAGGCAGAGAAGCTTGAGGATTCTGGGGAATGTGTAATTTTGTTAATTACAAAGAATGGGACATGTGTGTATATAAGTGTTGCATATTGTATCCATTTTCTTTAGTGAATTGCCTGAAAGAGAAGAAGGAGAAGGAGAAGAAACTCCAATTTTCAGTCACTGGGGACCCCCCCAAATGTATGTTGATAAATATTTTAGTATTCCTTTTGCCTTAATAATAATTTGAGTGTTGATCATTAAGTATTAGGAGAAGAGAAGCAACATGCCTCTCTTGCTGGAGGCACTTTGCTTACTCATTGCGTATTTTATACCATCTGGGAAGAGTAGTGTGACAATAATTCCTTGTAATATGCTAAAGGCAGAATTAATATTTATCAGGTGTTCTGCTGAATGATCTTATATGACTTCCATTGATTTTTACATAATTTCTTGTAAGGTTGTGTGCAAAATGGAAAGTGTTTTTATTTCAACTTTGAAACACTCAAAGAGTGTTTGGGATTGGAAAATTTGGAATAGTTTAGTTGTTTCCGGTCTCAATGAAAACAAAATCTGGAGGGTTCTTACAAGGTGAATAAGACAAGGTTGATTCAGTTAACCCATCTTTTCCTTCCTTTATATGATCTGGATACTGCCGCACCTCCTGATTTTCCCAGTAGCTAACTTTCTTTACTTATTCTTAGTCCTTATTTGGAGTCAAACAAATTGGTAGCAGCTAAAGGGAGGGTAGGAAAAGCGAGGTGCTAATGGAGAATGGTTGGATATGCGATGCTTGAACCCAAAACAATGGAAGGGACAGCTGTGCGACCAGACAGTCCATCCCTGATTTTTCCAGGATCTTTCTTTCTCTACCGTGATTTTATGTTCAGTATATCTACCAGACCTCCAATCTTCCGTGAGCTACCCAGTCTCCATAGCTTTTTTCTATTCTTCTCCAAACACATCTGCCTGAATCATGGCAGAACTTTTATGTTTCTTTGTGGCCATATTTAGATTGCCCCAAACTAGCTATTCTAGCATGAAAACTTTTACTCTTGCATGACACTAATGCAATGAATTATACAATTTATGTTGTAGTGTGTGTGTATGCTTGTATTCTTGCATATATATTCTATTAGCTGACTTGCATGATATGCATTGGTTCTTATTAGTAGCTCTTTCAATTAAGAAAATGATATGCCTTAAAATAAGAAATGCTTAACTTTAAGTACTTTCTAGTAAAGTCCAGGAGCTGTAACTCTTGCTGCAAAAATATTAGTAAAGTTGAAGTTATTTCTTCATAAACAATTTGTAGAATGCTTATTTCCTTTTATTTTATCACATTAAATCTTATAAACAAATTAATATAATATGATTTGAAACCGAAAAGGAATAATTAAGGAAGCTAACTGTATTTATCCAGCCATTCTAATGTGATTTTCCTGACTGGACATAGAATTGATACATTCATATAACACAGATAATAAGCATCGCTCTTTTTCACAACAGTACAGTTCTTAAAATTCACATATGAAAATGGCATGTTTCATTTTAAAAGAGATGGATTTCATGGGGATGAGTGACATTTGGTGTTCAGTGACTATATTTATTAATGTATTGAGGGGCATGGACTAGACTAGAGTGAAGAAAATTAACACTAAAAGCAGGCAAAGAGATCAGATATTATGACTTATTTTTATTTTTCTGAAACATTAAAGGGATTGGATTTTAAAATGGAATTAATTCAGGGAAGACTGAAATGAAGGACCCAGGTACGTATCATGCAATCTGAAGCTATGTTCCACTCACTTTGTGGTCTACCTTACAACAAACCAGAAGCTTTGGATTTCTATAAGGTCACATATTTTAGCAAAAATCATGAAGCTCCAACTTTTTGTATTCAGAGCATTCTTTCACAATTCTCTTTCTCAGAATTGAAATTTTTCGGGAGCCCCATGTTCCTCTTGGCATCAGTATTGTTGGTGGACATACAGTTATAAAACGCCTGAAGAATGGAGAAGAGCTTAAAGGAATATTTATCAAGCAGGTTTTGGAAGAGAGCCCAGCAGGAAAAACAAAGGCTCTCAAAACAGGAGACAAAATACTTGAAGTAAGTTCAGAGTTCTTTAAAAGTCTGTAGCTGTCTGCATCTGCCTGCTTGAACAGGCTCAATTTTTGGAGAGATTCTATTGAATACAAATTACAGATTTAGTAAATAGTAAATATTTGCAGCCTAATGTTAGCTGCTTATCTTATGTGTGAATACAAAATAATGATCATGTAAGATGTAATTGTGGCATTTCAGTTTACTGTTTTGTTTTTTTTAGTGGGCTGGCCCTTATATTCTACAGAGAACTGCAGATGCCACTTATCTACATGAGAAAAGATTAAGTCCTACTAGAAACATGTGCAAAAATAAAGAATTTTTATTTTTGACTTATTGATGACAAGGAGACTAGAAATTGAGGAATGGGGAATTCCTCTTTGGGGACCTTGTGATGGAAGGGTTCCTGAAAAGGAGCTTATTCCCATCAGTTATCAGGATTTCTCTGTGGAGTGGTGCAGTCAAGAGGAGAGCATCTTAAAGCCAAAACAGTCAGAGAATAACAGGAAATGCTAACTGCTGTCAAAACGCATGCAATATTAGGAAACCAAATACGCATGAACATAAAGCAAAACAATCAGCTTGAAATAGACGTTTATTAAGCTCACTAAGGAAAAGGTGGCTCAGTGGCTAAGATGCTGAGCTTGTCAATCAAAAAAGGTTGGCAGTTCAGCAGTTTGAATCCCTAGTGCCACATAACAGAGTGAGCGCCCGTTACTTATTCCAGTTTCTGCCAACCTAGCAGTTCGAAAGCATGTAAAAATGCAAGTAGAAAAATAGGGACCACTTTGGTGAGAAGGTAACAACGTTCGGTGCACCTTCGGCATTTAATCATGCCAGCCACATGACCACGGAGATGTGTCCGGACAGCACTGACTCTTCGGCTTTGAAATGGAGATGAGCACCACCCCTTAGAATTGGGAACGACTAGCACATATGTGCGAGGGGAACCTTTACCTAAAGAAAATAAATTCAGCATACTGTTTAATATGGCCTTGAATTGAATGAATAAACCCAGTTATTTTAAAAAGTCAAAGAATTCAATCTTCTTTTTAAAAAATACTTTTTTATTAATCCAATAGAAGTATTTCTAAATGTCTTTGCTATTGATTAGATGTTATGTTGATACCGTGAGTAACATTTTAATCATGGGACTATATCTATTATATTAGCAAAGCTCTGTGGGATTGTTATTCAGGTTTTTCAGCAGACTGAGATCTTTTTCTAGAATTTGGAACAGAAGAAGTAAATCTAAATGAGCTCGTTTCTCTGCAGGTATCTGGAACAGACCTACAAAATGCTACTCATGAAGAAGCTGTGGAAGCTATCAAACATGCAGGCAACCCCATTATTTTTGTGGTGCAAAGCCTCTCAACTCTTCCAATGGTAAGTTATCTCCACTTAATTACTTTTCTAAAATTTAATTTTGATGGAGAATGGATTCCAACATGGAAAAGGGGAAAAAAGATAGGCATCAGTCTGCATCTAGGCAACTCTATTTCTTAGAAATAGTTTTTGTTTGCTTTCTTTTCATTTTTCTCTTTCTCTTCATTTTGATTCATTCACACATTTTTTTTCTGTTAGGATATCTTCATCCATTCATTAATTCACATTTGTATTTTGTAGATAGTTTCAGTAATAAACCCCAAGAAAAAGAAAGACGACAAGGATCAGGACACAGAAGAAACTGAAAAGGTAGGTACAGTCTCTCATTTAACAATTCAAGTTTTCTTTAAATGGAAGAAGGCAAATGATATTCTTACTTACATAGTAGACTTTCTGACATGTTTTGAAAGGATAAATAAAATTTACTTCTCATTGCCCTTGATCTTTATTACTGTTTATGCTATTATATGTAAACGTTGAATAACATTAGAAGTAATAACAACTGCAACAAAGAGGAAATAGGTCGCTTATGAGTGAACTAAAAATAATAAAGAATTACAGGTATCTATTTAGAACTAAGTGGCAATTAGTTCATTGGCAGATTGTTCCCTTGTTAAGTGGGTTAGAATGAAATAAACCTCTTTCTAAAGGATTTTCTAGAAATCGTCCACGTCTAAAATAGATATAATCTAAATGTTCTAGAGTGGTCCAATCTGGAAATGGGCCCATTCTAAACTTCCCTAATCATTCACATTAGGAAAGTAAAAACATATTGGTCGCATTTTTGTAATAAAGTTTTTATTACGAATTTTAATTAGAATATTAGAAACTAATACAAACTACTGTATACTTAAGAGAAAGCTGAATGAAAAGAAAGAATAGATAGTATATGAGGAAAAAAGAAAAAGAAAATATAATAAAAACAGAAAAGAAAGAAAGAAAGATGTGTGTGTTATAAAATAAAATATATAAAAAAGTGATTTCAAACTTTCATCACAATGATAAACAAATTTAATAACTCTTCATTGTCCTTTAAGGTTAAACAAATATCTATTCCTCCATATCCATTATCTACAAGCAAAACTATAAAACATCTACTTTTCAATCCTGTTGTCAGCAAAAGTCAGGCGTGAAATACCAGATCTACACGTGAAGATTTAATTAAACTGATTTATTGCTAATAAAACCTTATGCATAGGAATCTTTTCAACTAATTGTTGGCACGTGCTTAGAGTAAGATAAGGGTCAATGGCACTCAAGGGGAGCGGGACTTAGTTATCTTATGGCTATCTAGAGATTCTAAGGGATTTATTCTGCCAGCCCTTCTCCTACAAAAAAGTCCATGAAAAGTTGTCAGAACATTGCTAAATAAATAAATACAATTTTAATTCTGATGAAATAAACTAATTTTATATTTTTCCTTTTATTTCTAAAAATCTTAATCTTTGATTCAATCAAATATTGTCACATGATTTTATTTCTCTTCAACTCTATTTTATCTCATTGCACAGATTTCTTTGAGGCTTTAACAAGCTTCTTTTGTAGACTAAAAAAGAAAAGAAAAATGGCAGCTCATTCTCTTTCCTTTTGTATGTCCACTATAGCGTCCTTTTCCAAATCATTCTCTTGGCCTGTATTTGTAGTTGTAGATTCTATACTTTATATTGTCAGATAAAATTTGTCATCCATATGTCAATCCTTTATTAACATCTTTTAGACACAACCTATCCATAGAAAAAGACAGCTTTAGTGATAGTGCTGATATTGAATTTACCAACTTCGAGCTCCATTCTTCACAAATCTCTTAATATTTATGATATTATAACATATTTTGTCATTTTGAAAGTCCCAATGTTAACCAAATCATATATGCTTTTTTCCTATTGCAACAAGAAGGATGGCAAGAAATCCTTCAAGAAGTTATTTTTATAGTTAGTTCCAAAATATTAGTGTAAAATCAATATTCCAAATTTATCTTGATCTTTAATCCATTTGTAACTTTCTTACATCAAAATCTGATTTAGCTTTTACTGCTTATTTCATATTTCTTAAATTCTTAAGCTTGTAATTAATATTTTGTTCAGAAGATAAACTCACCCAATGAAGACTTCAAATTTGTCATTCTGAAGAAGTCTAATAGAAGTTCTAATAGAACTTCGAATGGAAGTTCTAATAAGAACTCTAATAGAACTTTAAAATAGTTTCTGAAAATGATAAAAAGTGAAGTTTGCAAACTTAATGTCCTTTAAAAGGCTCTACTGAGGTTTTGAGCAAAGTGGCGGATCTCATCATCTCCCAGCAGTCAAACACATGGAAAACTGATATCCTATGTCTCCTTGCAAGGAGCAGCCATCCAGATCATATGTGGATGATCTCCTGTCTTCTCTTTATCCAGAGAAGTTGCCAGAAACAGTCTACTCACAAGTTCCTTGATCTTTGCTGCAGTCATTGGCTCTGCTTTTTCAGAGCATTGTATCTTCAATTCCCCCAAAAGTAAAAACAAATTGTGAGGTAACATGACTCATCATATAATTCAGAGGCGGGTTCCTACCAGTTCGTACTTATTCGGTAGAACCGGTTCGTCAAATCTACCGAACCGGTTAGAAGAGGTTCCACCAGTGGACTCGGAAAGCAAGCCATACCTACAGAAGAGGTTCCAAAAAATTTTGAAACCCACCACTGATATAATTGATTGATTGTTGATAGATAATCACTTTTCTTCAACAAGGCTATTTACATGAGGAACTCTCTTGACTCTTCATAAGAAAATTAATGTAGGCTAGGATGAACCTTTAGAGCTCTTGGTTTTCCTTAAAAAATATGGAAATTATTACTTTCATGGTGTATGAAATGAAAAGTTCAGATGAATGTGTCTAGCTTTGTATGACTAATTGGGAGCAGGGATGATTTAAACAGTCACATTTCATTTTTCCGCCCTCTCTTTTTCTGTATTTTTAATCATCTTGCCTGATGTGGTGTTCTTGGGGATTTGGGAGCTTGCATACTAGTTTATAAATCTTGAGCTGTACTAATAAATGTACTGCTGCAATATAGATTGGATGAGCTCTCCTTTCCCAAGCTTTTTTTTAAAAAATAGTTTGAATAGTCCAAACTTGGTCGAAATGATTGGAAAACCATTTCTGAATTTTAAACCAGTGTGCAATGATGGATGAAAATAAATAATATGTTTGAAATTGCTAGTATCCTACTGGTAGTCCTTGACTTACAATTACAACTGAGCCCACAATTTTTGTTGCTGACAGTTGTTTTTTGCCTCATTTGACAATCTTTCTGGCCACTGTTGTTCAATGAATCTCTGCAATTGTTAAGTTAGTAACATGGTTGTTAAATGAATTTGGATTCCCCATTGACTTTGCTTGTCAGAAGGTCTCAAAAGATGGTCACATGACCCCGGGACAATGCAACCACCATAAATATTGCCAAGCATCTGAATTTAGGTCCCATGGAAATGCTGCAATGGTCATAAGTGTGGAAATGATCATAAGTCCCTTTTTTCAGTGCCATTGTAACTTTAGTCACTAAACAAATGGATGTAAGTTGAGGACTATCTGTATTTAAAGGAGCTACTCTTCAGCAGAGAGCATTTTATCTTTCTCATTTCCGGATGTTGTGACCTAGGCTTCCTTAAAAAGTAAGAAGCAGAGTCTTGATCCTGGCAAAACTCTTTTATTTACATGACTGTGAATTCCTTTCATTCACAGTCATCAAGGCTTAGCAAACAGTCTTTCAGAGGAATGTTTATCAACTCAAACCTTATCTTGTTGGAAAGTTGCCAAATAACTAGTTTCCAAATGCAGGGCAAGGCAAAGCTTGGCACAGAGTCTCTTAGAGTCACAAACAGAACTTTCCACTTGAAACGACCGAATGAACAAATTGTTTCCTGCAAAAGTCCACTCCCCATTTGCTCCTCTTTTGTTTCCTGTGGGAGGTGCCAATCACATCCAAGGTGTGGCTTTACTCCTAAGTTGACCCTGCTTTCTTAGTTGTTCTTGTCTTCTGGCAGCTCTGCACATGCACACACTGGAAACAGGCTCCAGCTGTTCCTCTGCTTTACTGCTGTTTAATCCCTCTCTGCCTCCGACAGAGAGCCCTCATCTGAGCTTTCCTCAGCCCCCAGGACTGGCCCATGTTCCTCCCCCATCTCCTCACTGTCTGATTCTGCTGCCACCTCTGCTGGTGGGCCACAACACTGACAGGATCAACAGCAGTACTTTTCCACTTTCTGTGAGGTCAACCATAGACTTTCATCACGTTGATGACTTTGCCTCCAAACTCTAGTTTGCTGCAAGCAAAATGGGCAATACAATACATTTTATGAAGACGGGCCATTAGTATCCTAATGCAGACAGACCATTAGTAGCGTAATACAGCTTTTTTTTGTAACTGTATGTTTATGCCTAGAGAAACAGAGTACCATTCTTCCAAGACTTTTGAGTCCTTTGGAGGAGCTATTTTTTGAGAATATGAAAATCTTGGTCTCTGCACCTCCTACAGAAAGAAAGCTGGGAGAAGCTAGGAGTCCAACAAAACCTGCTACTTACCCAGAACATTGCAGGTTAGAAAGTTGAGGCAAAGGTGCTAGGCAACAAGGAAACAATCCTTATCTGGCTATCCTCCATTCAACAACCTGACAAATATAAATCTGGGCATTGGCTTCTTTTCTAATTGTTTTCTAGTGTTTGTGTTACTCCACTTGAACTATCTTGAATTGCCTTCTGATCGTGTTCTTTGAAACTCTGTTTGCAAATAATTCAGCCACTCTAATAGCAAGACAGCTTTGATTATGCAAAATCTGCTGACTGTACCTTAATCCCTCACAAGATTTTCATTTGGATGACTCCAACTGACTTTTAAGGGCCTTCCTCCTTCTCTAATACATTCTTCTCAAGATGCTCGTCCAGATGTCCTAGAGGAGCAAAGGAAAAATATTCTTACAATTCTGGTTTTTTTCCTCTTTACAATTGTAGCTTTTTGTCTGCCAGACATATTTGTGAGTTGATTGCAGGTTGTCTTTAACTTACAACAACAATTGAACTCAAAATTCCGGTTGCTACGTGAGACAGTTGTTTAGTGAGTTTTGCCCCATTTGATGACTTTTCTTGCCAGAGTTGTTAAGTGCATCAGTGCACTTGTTAAGGTACTGACATGGTTGTAAAGTGAATCTGGCTTCCCCGTTGACTTGTCAGAATGTCATAAAAGATTATCACATGACTCTAGAACACTGTAACCATAATAAATATGAGCCAGTTGCCAAGTGTCTGAGTTTTGATCACATGACCATGGGGATACTGTAAAGCATAAAAAATGGTCATAAATTACATTTTTTCAGTGTTGTTGTACTTCGGAGTGGTCACTAAACAAAAGGTTGTAACTGTACTTCTATTCTTAAATGCTAGAAGTTGGAGCTCAACCATTACTGCCTGTGGAAAGGTTTATCTCGAGACTTTGTTTGATGCCTCTTGTAGAGAAGTTCCCTTTTTGGAATGACTCAGCGGTTAAAGATGCTGAGCTTGTCAGTTGGAAAGCTGATGGCCCAGTTTTGAGACCCAAGCCCTGCACAATGGGATGGCATCCCTTTCCTGCTCTACCTCCTGCCTATCTAGCAATTTGAAAGCATGCAAATGTGAATAGATTAACAGGTGCCACTTTGGTGGGAAGGTAACAGCATTCCATGTGCCATTGACATATATCCATGCTGACCATATGACCATGGAAAATGTCTTGGGACAACACTGACTCCTTCGTCCAAGAAATGGAGATGAACCCTGAGCCCTAGAGTTGGACATGGAAACTTTTACCTTAAATTTTTATGTAGATTTTCTCAAGTTCAAGGTATACGTTTTAAGTTATAGGATGTCCTTTTTCTTCTTCTTTACTACTAATATTGTAGTGTCATCACAATAAGCTTTTTCTTACATCAGGAAGAGTGCTTAATCACCCTGCAGGTAATTGATTATACATTTTTGCAGGGAGGTTCTTCCCAAGGCATGCATGCACATTCAGCCATTAATGGTATAAACATACCTGTGTAGCCTAACTTCTGGAGCTGGGCTATTGAGACTGTCTGTATGGGGGCCACCATATAGAAATTATTTATTTGTGTGTTTGTTGAAGAAGTACCACTTGTCATTGAACTGGCTATATATCATGTCTCTGAAATAATGCAGATCACCGGTTAGTTTTAACAGCCATTTCATTGTGAAGGTAGTACTCAACAGATTTCCCCCCTGTGAATAAAACTCAAATACTGCCCTGCATGAGTCCTTGGGCAGAGATTGTAGGGCTAAATTATGCAGTATTTCGGCCTTTGTAACACGGAAAAGTAGTTGCATGAGTAATAGTTTCTTTTCTACATGAATGATTCTGTCCCTAAAGTACTAATAGTGTAAATTGGTGTTGTTCAAAAGCTAATGGAATACATGACTTCTGGAAATAATGATATCAAATATAAATAGGATGTAATTTCCCCCACCGTATTCCAGATAATGTTGGATTTGGTCAGCTGGAGAATGACAAAGAGGGAAAATGTCATTAAAAGCATATTGTGCAGATATTCTTCAGTTGACCATATGTTCTGGGCTGGTTATTTCCATAGAGTAGGGTAAAACATTGATTATGGCTGAGTGAAAGCATAGACAACATTTCCTAGAGAGGAAGCTGAGTCAGGAAAAGAATTATTTTTTTCTTCTAGACTCTGAAGACTGGATTTAGTGGATTCAGTGGATTTAAACAACACAGCATACTCCAAGAAAGGCAACATAAAATAATCATCTTCATAGCGCACATGAAAATAGTATTCAGATAAAGGTTAAAGTGAAAACAAAACAGAGCTACATCCAAAATGAGTGGATTGACTCATTGCAGATTAATTTGTATTGTCCTCAGTAACAGCTGTTGCCACAGCAAGTAGCAACCCAAGGCTGAAGTCAAACAGGGTTAGATCTGAGCATTTGATGGGAAACAAGAAGGAAATTGCAGCTAGACATTAGGCTGGGAAGTAAAATAACAGCCAAGAGGAAGTTGGTTGTATATGGTTTGTTCATATTAGGGGTGGGTTCTGAAAGGCTCTGCTGTCGATTCACTCGTGTGCATGCTGCGGATGCATGTGCAATGTAATTAAAATAAAAAACTGAAAAACCAAGATGGTGGAGCCTGTGGAACTGCCTGGAGAACCAGTTTGGGGATGTGGCAGGCCTGAGTCGCTGCCGGTTCCAGTGATCCAGGCCACCAAACCACTACCAGTTCAGCCGAACCGGTAGGAACCCACCATTATAATTCATATACTATAATCAACAGAAAGCTGACTGGCTGACTTCGGGGCCAATCCCTTTCTTTCAGGCAACCCACCTCACAGGGTTGTTGTGGGGAAAACAGGAGAAGGAAGGATTATCTATGTTGCTGTCTTGAATTATTTATAAAGTAATAATAATGGGATAGATAAAAATAAATAATTACATTAGAATTCAATATGATATAGGTTTTCACTTTTGTCTTTAGAATTCATTAACCCATTTAATTGATTGCTTTTCAACTCCTAAACTTACTGGTAGGAAGGATAATTTGGATAAAGTGCTGATTGGTTTCTTCCACTACCTAAATTGTGGAAGCTTGTTTTTATTCTCTTTATTTTGATGCTATTTTTGCCTTAACAAGATGACATTTATTTTATCCTGATTTGCAATCGCTTTCAGTTTCAACTGGCCTTCCTTTTTATTGCCTATTGCAATTTTTCATTTTATTTCCATCCCACATTCAAAAGGCACGCTTTTACAATAAATGTCGATTGTTCACATAAGATTGCAACTCCGTATTTGTCAATGTCTTTTTTTACTGCTATACTCTTACTATAGTAATATAGTATTGTAGAAAAAATAATAATCTTTCTAAAAATGACATGCAAAACCATGGCTCATGACTATAAAGCAGCATTTTTCAAGCCATTTGTGTTGGTCTCGTGACATTTGGCACTCACTGTTTACTAAAATGCATTTGGCTTTTGCAATGTGATCGTAGTTGAGCTAATTCAGCCCTACAGGACAGCTCACAAACGACTGAAGCCTGAGAAACAGATACTTGGCTGTGGCTACTGGAGTCCTCCAGTTCTCCTTCGTTAGGGTGATATGTACCACTATATGCACCATTATCGAAAATGCCTTTATTTATGTGAGGTAATGAGATTTTATTGTGAGTTTTATGATATATCACTTGTTAACCAGAGGTAATATTGAAAATAGCGTAGTCTGTAATGTTTGATGGAGCTTTATAAGCTTTTTTTTCCCTGTAGTGCCTTGAAAGCTGTAGATTTATTTTATGAAGCATTCTGGTCTTTGGTGAAAATTGTATTTTTCCATTTATGTTGTCAGTTAAGTGCTGTATTATCATTGTTGCTTTGGTATAAGGAGACATTAGCATCTTAGTATTCCTTGCTTCTAACAAGCTAATATAAAATCAATCTCTTTTTTTAAAATGTGGACAAAAATGTGTGTTTTATTCAAAAGAAGCCCAAGGTCTATGAAAGTAGAAGCTTCTTTTGAAAACAGCATTTATAAACTACACATATATAATGGATTTCTTATCAGTACTATCTGAAATTTATAGGCATAATATGAAATGCTATTTTTTTCTTTTTACAAGAAAAGTGGAATTCCACCACCCATGAAATTGCCACCACCTTACAAAGGAGCAAGAAAGTCCAGCTCGGATGAGCCAGAAGAGGAAGAGGACGAAGAGGAAGAAAATGCTTTTACAGAGGGTAAATTATGAAGTATTATTAGATCTGTTGAATTGCTACATTCAGAATTCTTCTTTGGGGCTCTTACCTAGGGAAAAGCTGCTTATGATCACCATATTTATAGAATTGAATTTTTTGCTGGAATATAAGAATCTTGAATTCCGATGGGAAAGAATGCAGGAAAAGACTTCAGAAATAAGAGGAAGTACCTCTTCCTACATAGTCCCTTGTTAAACTACCAAAAAGATCTAGATAATTATTAGAAGTGAATGGAGAAAACTTCCTTAATGCCATAATATTTTAGACCCTTTTTTCAGGAAGTGTGGACAAAATTTAGTTAAGAAAGAGATCGTGAATATGCCACTTCTCAGTAAACTGTTTAACCATGCATAAGGGTAAGTAGTTTTGGAAATACCAAGGATCTCTGACCATAATCATTTTTTATATGTGAATTATTTTGAAATGTCATGATTGTATTATATATGTATATATGTTACATTTAAAATTTATATATTCCATACAAATATGTAAATAAAACATTTCTATAATGTATTTATGAGGGTAATAGTTTCTCCAGTTCATGTGATCACTATTTTTAACCCTCCCAGTTAGCTTTTGACAAGCAAAGTCAATGGGAAAAAACAGATTCACTTAACAAACATGTTACTAACTTAACAACAACTGTGGCAAGAAAAGTTGTGAAATGGGACAAAAGTCACTTTACAACTGTCTTGCATAGCAGCATAAATTTTTGGTCTTAGTTGTGGCTGTAAGTTAAGGACTATGTGTACATAACAGAATAACAGAATTGGAAGGGACCTTGGAGATCTTCTAGTCCAACCCCCTGCTCCAGCAGAAGCCTCTACATCACTTCAGACAAATGGTTGTCAAATTTCTTCTTAACAACCTCCAGTGGTAGAGTACCCACAACTTCTGGAAGCAAGCTGTTCCACTGATTAATTCTTCTAATTGTCAGGAAATTTCTAATTAGATTGATTCTCTCCTTGAATAGTTTGCATCTTTCTACACAATCCTTTATTAAACTAGCAAAGATCTGGAGAAGGTTACCAATCTGGATAGCTTTAAAAGGAATTAAATAAACTTAAAGGGCAACCTTTCTCAACCCATTTCCCTGGAGAAATTTTTGAAATAATTATCAGATCTCAGGGAGCCCCTGCCTAAAAATCTCCCAAAAAATATGAACATTTCACAATACAATTTATATCTGACCTACACAATCAAAATTGTATAACGTTTGCAACAATGGCAAAGTAGTTGCTTGGAATTGAATTGCAGCACATAATAATTCCTATTAATGCAAAAATAAACATTGCTTTTTAAACTTTGGGCACTTTGTCTGTTTATTGGACACAATTTCTCATGGAACCCCTAGCAATCTCTTGCAGAGCCCTTGTGTAATTGAGAAGGCTGGCTATTGAGTTTAAACTGCAGTAGCTGTTAGTAATAGTTGTTTAATATTTTCAGTATCAAAAGCAGCATGTCTCTAATAGAAGAGAATATTTGTAAGGGTAAACTGTAGAGTTCTTGGTGTTTGAAAATGATTGTTTTCTTGCAGATGTTTCATTACCCAACTAAGTAACATCATCAGTGCCCGGATATGTACTGATCATATTACTATCTGGATAGTGAAACATCTGCAAGAAAACAGTGTTCAGAAAGCATCGAAGACCCCAAAGCATGTCTCTGAATATCACTTGCTTGTGTGTACTAGAGAGGAGTGACTGTCTGCCTTTAAGTAGTTATTTAAGGTACGTGTTTATGCTTCATAGTTTATAAATCACTTTGCAAAATAGACCAAGTCACAAAACAATGAATCTGTTTCTGTTTGCCCTTTTCCCTAATTTTCTGCCCAATTTTAATCGAAAGTTCCTATTACACAATTAAAACAACAGATTCCTTTCAGGAAAAATGCAGGCCAAATTAATTTGCCAATATCAACAGAAAAGGTGGCGTGGATTCTTATTGATCACAATGGGAATGCGATGTTGGCTTTTAGTCTGATCCAGCATAGCTCTAAAGTTAAAATGCTGCCTTTCCAATAGATGTCACTGCAGTCATTAACAATGGTGTTAGATTTTCTTACAGTATCAGAAAGCATTTCAATCCATCAAACAAAATGACAATCAAAGAGCTTTTAATTGGGATTGTATAACACATCCTTTAATGTTTTTAAATCTTGTTCTGAATTTAGCTTTCCTACATGATATTTCTTAAAAGATAATGGGCTACATCATCATGGGTATCTGTGCATAGATTTTCTCTTTTGTACAGATTTTAAACCTATTGGTTCAGTACTCAAATACTGAAAATGCATTTGAGTGTAAGAAATATAAGTATAATAAGGTCTGAGAATTACTGTAACCAGTAATTTTTCTGTGGCTCTGCCAATGCATTGAACAGATGTTGCAGATGTGACTCTCTGCAGGCATGTTACAAAAGATGTGTTTTCTAAATGAAAAGAACGTTAAGTCTAATGAGTAAATATTGACTAAATTGATACATACCAACTTCCTACTCAGCAGTCTTGTGATTTTATTTAATTGCTATATAAAATAAATAATTTTAAATATATTCTCACTGTTTACTGAAGGGGCATTAAATGGATTCCAATCTGCTTGGCAATGATAAGGATTCAGAGCAGACAGTTTTCCTGAAGATATAAACATAATCCCACACTGCAGTTCTGATCAAGGGAAAACTAAAATATAATACTGCTCTGCTGGTCTGGCAAGCACTCACAGATTATTAGAATCAGAAACAAGCATTTATACATATGTGTTTGTGTGTGTGCCTGACTGGATGTTACAAACCTTTTATCTGCAATTAAGAGTGGGTCATTAAGAATCAAATCAGCTAGGCTCGCAATCAAGAAAAAGGGCAGCATGGTTTCAAAATGATTTCTGTTTCAGAGGAGGGATGCTAGTTGAATCGTAGTGATTTCCAGCAATGCAACAACAATACAGCAGCAGTAGCAACAGCACTAGAGCCTCGGTGGGTCATAGAGATGGAAGACCAGGAATTTCTCTAGTTGTGCTTGCAGGCTCGCCGAAGGATGTAACTCTTTGCTTGTGGGCAAGATTGAAATTAATTGCGATCAGTCACATATCATAGTGGAAAGAAAACTGACAGATTGCCCTTAAGGCGAGGGAAATCTCTCAAGCAGGCCCAAGGTCGTCAGAAGAAAGACGGAGCTCCGATTCTCTCTGTGTGTTATGTGGTGAGGACTGGAGCTGCTCACAGCATTTGAATGTTTGTGTGGAATGCAGATACCTATAATTGTGTTCTAATGCAGCAATGGTGCTAGGGGGTTTCCCAGGTATGTATTAAAGCATCCATGAATGCATTCTACTTTTTTTCTTTCTTTCATTGCATGCTTTCAGCATTTAATGATGAGTGAAAATGAAACATGAACTGGATGTGGCATTCTTTCTCCTGTTTGAGTTATTTGCATGTCAGAAGAGTTGCCGGTTAGATGAATTCTGCTTTTAAGAAGGCACCAGCTAAGTTTAAGTTGGAAACCGTTAATGGAATGCACTGAACGGCTGTGAAGCTGACAGCATCAGTTAATTGTTGCGTTTGCTTAAAATAATAGAAGAACTTAATTATTCTTAACGTTATTGGCAGGCAGAAACAGATGTGGTTGCCTTGTACTAAGTCTCAGAAGGCAATAGGGAAATGTTTCGCATGTGATAAGAAGCTGCTGTTGAAATTTTGTTCAGCGTTTTTATTCTGTAGGGGCAGCAGAATGTAAGTGTCAAAGGAAAACATGCTCTTCTTCACAAAGAGTGATAATAATGTTACTGTATTGCTTGCTTGCTGTGAACTGTGGTAGAAAATCTGAATGTAAATCAAGTGATGGGGGGAAATTGTGTCTGTGTGTATACATACATAGAACACTCAAGATACCAGGTCTGAACTGCAACAGTCCAGATGACCAACAGTTGACAACAGAGAATTACAGTTTTCAATATTTCTTTGCTGGCATAGGTTTTTTATTTTTATTTTTTGCTTTTTAATACCCTAATCCAAATGCACTCATACGTACATATATCAGCAATATGAATCTGGTGAAAATCTTTCACTATTTATGATAGTGATTGTTTACTTGGCATCTTTATATTTTACATTCTGAGTTAAAAATGTAAAACTTTATAAGGCTCTAGACAAGTACGGAATTAGGGCAAAGAATTTTTCAGTGAGCCTACCACTTTATAATGGAAGAAAAATTAATGTCATTTCAGAAACTCATAGTACGATATAACAGATTGTGAGATAGGATGTGTGAGCGTATATCATATTTAGGAAGGGGTTTATATTATAGTACAATATTGTTATAATATAAAACTGACTTCCATTACTACACGCCATAGGTTGTTTTCAAATGGATGTTTAACACCCAGATAATGCCTTTAGAAACAATATTATCAAACTGCAAATAGAATACAGTAATATCAGGTTCTAGCCAACAGCTGTATTCTAATAAGAAAACCTACCATGCTATATGCTTAAATCCTATGAATAAAATTCACTGTCATCTTTTCTCTGTTGAAGAATATGGTAACTGTAGAAATCAGTAATCATCTGTTTTTAAATCTCAAAGCATTGATAATACCTTCAGAAATTAGCATCACCCAATGCTACCACTGCTGCAAAAGAAGGAAGTGTACTGTCCCTTTCCAATATTATTTTAGATTTATGATTCAAATGTAAATATATATTTGAAATGCAATGGGGAAAGCAGCTTAAAACTACTGGGAAAGTGTCAGTTGCAGAAAGGGTTAAATGTTTCAACATCTTCATCAATGATTTGGATGAGGGGATAAATGGGAAACTCATCAAATTTGCAGACGACACCAAGCTGGCAGGAATAGCCAACACTCCAGAAGACAGGCTTAAGATACAGAAGGATCTTGACAAACTTGAACATTGGACACTATCTAATAAAATGAAATTCAGTGGTGAAAAGAGTAAGGTTCTACATTTAGGCAAGAAAAACGAAA